GCTAAAAAATATAACCGTTTCTTGTCACTGAAGAAAGCGGTTTTTGACTTGGCTCTGTTTTTGCAGCTGTGTTCGGAAAAGGGTTTATGGCGAGAGACATGGGTTTCATCAACACAGCTGGTCCATCAAAACATCAAGCTGTAGCTCTAATGGTGAGTGCTGATCACGCTGCCTTTTACCGTTGCACAATGAACGCATTCCAAGACACGCTTTACGTGCACGCGCAACGCCAATTCTACCGTGACTGCACCATCATTGGAACAGTCGACTTCATCTTCGGTAACTCAGCTTCCGTTCTCCAAAACTGTCGGATTCTCCCTCGCCGACCGATGAAAGGACAGAAAAACACAATCACGGCTCAAGGACGGACAGATCCGAACCAGAACACAGGAATCTCGATCCACCGTTGCAATATCTCTCCCCTCGGTGACCTAACCGATGTTGAGACGTTTTTAGGTCGGCCTTGGAAGAATTACTCGACGACGGTGATCATGGACTCGTTTTTGCACGGTTTTATTGACCGCAAAGGTTGGTTGCCGTGGACTGGTGATTCGGCGCCGGAGACGATATTTTACGGTGAGTATAAGAATTCCGGCGCTGGTGCTTCGACGAAGAATAGGGTTAAGTGGAAGGGTTTGAGGTTTCTTAGTACGAAGGAAGCGAATAGGTTTACGGTGAAACCTTTCGTCGACGGAGAAAGATGGCTTCCGGCGACAAAAGTCCCGTTCAGGTCCGGTTTATGAGTTTCCGATCACGGAGCCTCTTTTATTTTTTAATATTTGTAAAATTATACATTTTTTCATTATTATGTAAGTGTTTTCGGTGTCACTATTATTCTCTTGTATCATTGTTTGACTGATTTAACTCAAATTACATTGTTGACAACAACAAAAAATACATTATTTCAAAACAATAAATAAACCTTGATATGTTGTGGCCTTATTTTCTTTTAGATATATCAAATCTCACCCACTGCAATTTCTATGTTGTCTATTGTACAGGTTTTAGATGACCAACAAAAAATACTTGGTATTCAACAAAATTCGAGATTAATGTAGATTTCAGTATATAAATGATTGATTATCTGAAAGAATAAATTAACTTATAAGCACGTATAAATAATGATGAGAAACACTCCCATAGTTAATTGGCTCGTCTTATAAAAGAATCCGTCTTAGTGCCTCGCACGCATGTACCGCGCGTTAACTATGTTTACTTCAACGGACGTTTTTTATGTGCATAGAAAACGAAATATTCAAAAAAATAATGTATGTTAGGGAAATAGCAGTCCTTCCACACTAACCCATGAACAAGTAACATAACATGATAACTAGCCGTCGAGCAATATTATTTGCAACGCTAATTCCCCCAAAACAGGGAATTATCGAGGAAGAAAAAGAAATTTGGGTTTACGGATTGGAGAATAATCCACCTAATTAGGCAGATCAAGAAACGCTTCATTAGTCGGCAATAGTCTCGTGATGATGTTCTCCACTTAACGGGACTTATCTTAACATGTACAATAGAAGGGCTCAAAAGATACACACAATTAATGTATTTTGAGGTTTTGTTGTTTCTCATGTATGTCTTTGCAAATAGATCATAGTAATTTAAAAAAAAAATCATAGTACAAAATAAACTCGTTTTTCTTTTCAATTAATATTAGACCGAAAATACATAATTTTATTTCTTATTTTGTTCTCATATGAAAACTGATTTTATTAATTGTATATAATCACACACCACAAATCTAGATCCCATAAAACTAGAAAAAATGAAAATTTATTGTTTTCTTTTAAATGAGGAATTACATATAATTAAATATTTTCTTCTCTAATATGGTGTTCTTTTCAGTCTTTGCGAATCAAACCACCGTAGAAAGGAATATCAGTTTGAGGCAGCCATGTATCTCCCATGGTAAAATTATAAACCGTGAAGTTCATGGCTTGTGCCAAGTTCAATAAATTGTACCCTAACCATTGCACCCTCTGGTTTGTGTTAGCCCCCGGTCCAAAGTTATCGTATTCACCGTAGTAGATCGTGTCTAGTCCAGTTGTACCGTTCCATTCAAGCCATCCGACTGGTTGGACAATGTCACTAATATATGACTGCATGAAAACCGTCCTTGAGTATGGCTTCCATGGCCGCCCTAGGAACGTCATGGTTGAGCTAGGATCAGCTGCAAGATCTGGGGCGGGTTTGATCGTACAATTGATGATAGAGATTCCGGTGTTTTGATTTGGTTCGGTTCTTCCATGAGCTGTTATCGCGTTCTTCTGCTTTGCCATTGGTTTTCGAGCATAAATGTTGCAGTTTTGAAAGATTGCTGCCGCGTTTCCGAATATGAAATCGATGGTACCTATAGCAAAAATGAATAAAAAAGTGAACAAAGATTAAAAATCTATCAATGAGATATATAGTTGTGTTAACCAAGGTCCAAGCTATCAAATCCAAATCATAGAATCAATATATATGAATGACTAATTTTGACTTTTTTTGGTGAGTCCTAACCACTATGAA